GGCGGCCCTCCCTTCCCCCACTCCGCCCCCACGGCCCCAGGGGGCGGTGTGCCACGGGCCCCGCTCCTGACACACGGCGGGGTCCGGGGGGGTCAACCAGGCGCTGCCCCTCTGCAGTCCCCCTTTGGTTGGCGCTGACCTGTGTGTCAGTTCTTGTGAGCCCTGAAGGGGCATTAGGGCCTCCAGAGCGTGTATGCAGGTCCACGAAGGTGCGTGGGTATGTAATCGCCCTTCAGTTCAAGCTGCTGGACACCGTCACGGCTCCAGTGCTCTGTTTCTTCCTTGTGTGTTGTTGAGCAGTTGAGGTTGCTGCCCAGAGCTTGGTTTTTATTACCAAAAAAAAAAAAAAAAAAATCCCAAACAAGCAAAAACATCCCCTAAAATAAAAAAGTGCAGAAGCATCAAAGATACAAATTCTGTGAGCACAACCATTCCTAAATTCACGGGCAGGTGCATTCTTACAGCAAAAGGGGCTGACAGCTGTTCAGGAGAAGAGTAAAAGCTGTTTTAGAGAGATGACCCACACAAGTGAAGCCATATGGATGATTTGGGGGATGATAAGTAGGATCCTGAAATTAGTTTTTTGTGTTAAAAAGTATTCGCACAGAACAGCAAGTAATCTTCATTGTACTTCCTGTGTTTAGTATTTTTGAAACATCAATTTAAAGATAATTTTAGCAAGTACTTACTTAGAATAACTGATTATTCTTTATGCTGTTAATAGATTGTCAGAACGGAACTGTATAGAAATTGTCACTAAACTGATTGCGGAAAAGCAGTTGGAAGTAGTGCACACACTTGATGGAAAAGAGTATGTCACTCCAGCACAGATTAGTAGGGAGATCCGGGATGAGCTTCATGTTTGTGGTGGTAAGTGTGGCATTTGCTTTCTTCCTCTGGATTTGGAAGTTAATTTTGAGGACTACAGAAAGAATTTGAAAGTTTTCTTCAGTACCCTTAATCTTGCAAAAAAAGTGAGCTTGCTTCCTATTGCTTCATCTACACATTAATTCACCTACTATTATTTTATTTTCACTTTAGATCTGTGTTAAGCTTTTAGGTAAGCATATCAAGATATGTTACTTGGTTCATTTTCACCCATGCAGAATTTCTGAGGTAGAAGTGGTCTAAGAACCCTTCTGAAGGAAATTTGGCATTTCGGTATGGTTGAGTATCTGGCCCAGATGTTTGGCCTTGACTCAGAATTTCAAAATCATTCTCCTTTCATGTCATTAGTAATAACAATATTTTTAAATTGTCACTGACAGGTCTTTTATTTTACCAGTATGAAAAGCCGTCTGCTTTGTAAGATCTGACTTAGATATATAAGGAAGCAAATAGGCTTCAAACTGCTTTTTGTCAATGGTTTTAATGAGAAGACAGTGTATTGTACTTTTAGTTATATTTAAGGGTGAATTTCATGGCATCGTATGTTTGGAAAATCAAGTTCCTTATTATGTTTGTACAGATTAGTCATTTTCTTACTATTACCACCAGTATGCCTCAGTTTGTGTTAGGCCGTTGTGTATCATACCAGTATGATAGCTTGAATTTAATTTAAAGTTGCTGGTTTTTGTTAGTAGCATCATGCAAAGGTAGAAGGTTTTGGCAGTCTCCGTTTTGATACTCATGGAATAGTGGTCAAATCCAGATCAGCATCAAGGCAAAAACTAATTGGGAGGGAGTTTGAACAGTGATTTTTACTTCTGGAATATCTGTATTGGGTTGTCAGCAAGGCTGTAGGGTAGAACAATATGGGATATCTTGCACTGACCACCTGTGGTGTCCGTGATTTGACAATGTATAAAGCTGAAGTTGGTTTAATTGGTCTACAAAAAAGTAATGAAGAAATATGTTGTACACGATGGTCTATGCTATATTCTAAATCTGTTCAAACGTGTTTTAATTACTAAAAGTATATTTGTACTTTTTTTTGAAGGTCGAGTAAACATTGTTGACTTACAACAGGTAACTTTTTAGTAATAAAAAACTATACACTTATTTCCTTTCTTCACCTTGTATACTGTAAACATGGAGTTCATCAGTTATACTCCAGCTAAGTTATTTTTTTAAAAAAGAACAAACTTTATGAAGAGCTGGTAGCTCATGTCAGAGTACTGCAGATTACTTAATCCATCCATTTACTGCTTTATTGAAAGCTCCTCTCTGCTTAATGATAATCTGGGACCTCTGAAATCACCGCTAAAATATGCAGATTTTCTTTAAGAACTCTTCCTTTATAAACTAAGGGGGGCACACAGAGAAGAAATATGTTTCCCATTTAAATTTAAAGCTGCAGGAGCATGCATAATTAACTTTGCACGCCTCTTTGGATCTTCCCTCTGCCTTCATTAATCTCTTGTCTCCACTAATCTTTATCCTCCAGTAGTCTTCCTCTGTGACTAATTTTCCCTTCTGGCTTGAGTAAAATTACTTGGAATCAGAAAACCTTTTTGAAAGACAATTTAGTATTTTCTGTTCATAGCTTTCTGGAATTTTTTATTATATAGGTTTCTTTTAACCTTGTCACAGTTGCAAAGAGAGCTTTTTCCCCCTAAAGCATTGCTGCTTTATTTCAAATCACAGATTAACTGCGTATGTGTGCAATAGTATAAAAAAATAAAAGCTGCTTTCCTCAAGACATAGGAATGTGTAAGTGTAGTATCTCGATGTTTGAGTACTAATTTCAATTTAAAGTTCTGATAAGAGGTTTTGTTGGGGGTTTTTTTTAGGTAATAAATGTGGACCTTCTGCACATTGAAAACAGAGCTAACGACATCGTTAAATCTGAAAAAACTATTCAGCTTGTACTGGGACAGCTTATAAATGAGTGAGTACTTTCAGGAGCAATATGTATAATTCACATCTCAATGCAGGCTAAAAGTGATGGCCAGCCTTAGTTGCTTCTGAAGCGAGATACATTTTTCTTGACTGCTACTAGGACTGCTTGGTGGTGATCGGCGCTTCTTTTCCAGATGACGAGTGAGGCCGATCCCTGCAGAGCATCCAGTGAATCCATGGAGCAAAGGCCTTACTGAATGTCTCTGCCCGGTATCCTGCATTTAAGAGGCTTCATTTCTTTCCCAGTGTCTTTGTGTACAGCAGCCAGATCTCATTTGCTCTGTGGCTTTGCTATCCGCCTCAGCTATTGACAAACCCTCTCATTTTTTCCCACCTCTTGCTTTACTTCACGAACCTGAGATGTATGAGCAAGTTATTTCATGGCATTCAGCACACTAACAACCACTGAAGTAATACTCTTATGGGGTTGTCTCTAATATTGATTGCACTGCAGGATTTATTCTTGGCAAAGAATGTGGCTCTGTTGAAATAATTAAGACCTATCGTGCTCGCTAAAGCCCTTTTATAAGTCTCATTGACATAATGTTTTCCTGTTCCTGCTTTTTGACAGTTTCATACAAGCAGATAAATGGCCAATTTTAATATTAGCCACCTGGTTAGCAGGCTTTCAAAAAAACCCCCACATTTTCACTGACATTGTTCTCCTTTATTCCTTTAAAATAACTTTCAGTTTATTTTTGCCAAGATGCAACAGAAAGAAGTATAGTGCCAGGTCAATTAATAATTCAGCATGTGGCTAACAGGTTGATCTTGAATTTCACACTTAATGTGTTGGGTGTTTTTTTTTCTTGTTTTTAAACAAGGAGTTACCTGGATCAATTAGCAGAAGAAATAAATGATAAACTACAGGAAACTGGCCAGGTGACAATATCAGAACTCTGTAAGGCGTACGACCTTCCGGGAGACTTCCTGATACAGGTGATGCAAGCCACCAACCTAGCAAATGTAGAATTTATTGTCTTCACCTTCTTTTGTTACCTTTGCAATATCCATGTCTTTAATTGTGATGAGCTGCTTGTCATTCTAAGAAAAGTATTAAAAACATAAAGGTTGCAGTGTAACAGCTATTCACAGATTGAGGTTGATGTTTGCCTTTTCACTACTGGGCAAAATTTCTTCAGAATCTTTATGACTGTTAGGAACAGATTAGGATTAGTAATGTTAGGAACAGGTTAGATTAGTGTAAGATCTGAAAAATTATTTGTTTGAAATACTAAAGATGTAGGGGTAATTTCATCAGTCTCATTAACTACCCAGGAAGCAGAAATACAATGGTAGAGACCTTTCGATTTATTCAGAAAAGGTAAAATACACGTTCGTTTCTAGAAGCTGAAGCCAGACATTCAGAGTAGAAACAAAAAACTATTTACCTTTGTTAGTGACTATTGTAGTGTTTAAAAGGATTAGCTCTTACCATTGTTGACTTTTGGTCAAGGTTGGATTTTGTTTGGAAGATACTTTTTTCAAAGGCTAATCCTGTGGCATGGGTTAGGTGAACAGTCATATTAGGTACCACAGACAACCTTGCTGACGCTCAGTTTATGAGCAGATTTCCTCTAATATTTGTCACATGATCAGCTTCTACAAAAACATTTCTAACATACAAAAATTATTACATGGTTTCTCTTTGTTTCCTGGGCAATGTTTCCTGAGTTTAGTTCACTTTGCAAGGATGCACATTTATAAACTGTTTGCACCTCTTTCTTTTGTGTTTATTGTTGCTAATTTTTATCTTGACTGTTTGAAAAAATGGATAGTGAATTTGTCTGCCACTGGTTTGTACAAAATTAATACAAAGGTTAAATCTTAGTTTTCATTGTGCATCTCCAAACCATACTAATTTATTTTGCAAGGTTTTCTTTCATCATTAGATACACATATATCTGATAGAAGAGGGCGTTGTTAGGAAAGCTGAATACCCTGAGGTTTGGAGTGTGGGCCATAAAGGCTTCAACTTACATGTAGCAAGACACGTTCTCAATATACCTAAATAATAATTTCCACTTGTAGTCCTCATTTCTGAATATTTTATCTGTCTTAGCAAAACTAATTTGCTGATCTGTTAATACAGATTTTTTGATTAATTTTTGTTCAATATCGTTAATATACAATTTTAGCAGTCATCCCAGCTTCTATTTACAGGCATTATCCAGGCGTTTGGGTAGAATTATTCATGGACAACTAGACCAGGAAAACCGTGGGGTGATTTTTACAGAAGCCTTTGTGTCCCGGCATCGAGCACGCATTCGTGGTCTCTTCACTGCGATTACTAGGTAAATTGCAACACCAGCAACCACATATTAAATTTTTTTTACCATAGGTTTTTATGGACCAAATTCACTTGCGATTGAAAAAGAACAGAAAATAAAGACCTATAGATAGATTTCTTTGGGTGTTGTTCAGTTCCTGGGTTGAAATATTTAGTTA